GGAGACGTGCATGTTCTGAAGAGAATACAAAACAAATAAAATGTATGCATTAAAAAAAAAAAGAATCCCCATAGGAATGTGTGCATCCACCATTCTTTGCCTCTTCTCACAGGTTCTGCTCTAAATGCGATAGCCCAGCAGTCCCACAAGTTGTGTGTGAAAGCAGAGGAGGAGTGTGAGGGAGCATGTTGCCTCGACTCTGGGCATTGTGACCTCGCCTAGTACTTGCTACGGCAGTGTTTGATTAAGCCTTGAGCTACCTCGCCTGCCAGCAGGGGAGCCATAAGCAAGTCTTTCTGTCCACCAGTAAACCATTGGCACTGTCCTCCCTCTAAGGCAGTGGCTCTTAACACTGCTACGTGCATCAGCATCACAGGGGCTTGTTAACAACACACTGCTGGGCCCCACCACAAGTGTCAAATTCGTGGGTCTGGGGAGAGGCTTGGGATGCTGGAACAGGTTCTCAGGTGCTGCTGCTACTGTCCAGGGACTACATTTTGAGACCCTTTCCTCTAAGGCAAGTCAGTATTTTTCAGAAATGCATTTACAAAATACAGTAAAAAAATAAAATAATGATAAAATGTATTCTTTTACTTTTTCATTTATTTCACACAAATAGCCAGTTCCCATATACACATATAAAATATTTAACAACAATTCCCAAAGCATATATTAAAATATCACTAATACGTCCAAAACAGCAGTGATGATGACGGCATACTGTTTAAATTGTAAGAAACGGCTACATCGTACACCGAGTGAGGGTAGTAGTGGAAGCACATCTGTGTGTGAATTACCTGGTTTTTCCTGGGATGGCTTGGACACTGTCCATCCAGGGCAGGGAAACGAGTCAGCTGACCTGTGGAAGGCCTCTTCATCCAGTGTTACTGTGACCCACACTGCACCTGGAACAGCGGAGTGGAGAAGGAGAGAGGAAATTGAGGCCCGCTGTATAGGATCAACCAAGGTGAAGGGAGGCAGTGGAGTTGCTGTTGCTTCACTGGCAGCACAGGTCACCCGTAGCTGGAGAATGATCCTAGACATGTCGGAGCAGTCCTAAGGACTGGCTGGAAGCAGAATCTTATGATGATGATCACTTTTGGGGAGCGGTACTTTGTTTGCTGTGCTTGAAGTTTACATCCAATAATGACTAAAGAACCATTTAAGAATCCAGACAGCTGAGAAATATAAAGAAAAGAGTCACTTGTCCTTCAATTTAAACATTTTCTGCTTCAAATTCATTAAGCTAGATGTGGAAAGGACCCTTGAGATCCTAGAGAACCTGCCTGTGCCAATACTGAATTGATCACCAAAGTGGTTTTATTGTCTCTGTGCAAGACCTGGTTTTAAATACTCCAAGCAATGGAACATTAGGAAATCATTCTCAGAAATAGTGCAGTCTGAAAGCTGTGCTTACACTGCACTTTCCTCTTCATCTTATCCATTATCTTTCTCTGGAGTATTTTGCATTGCACGATAATATAAAAGCTTTCATTTTGAACTCATAGTATTATACTTCCGAGTGGAAGAGGCTCTTCGGGGAGCAGACTACCAAAGGGTTTGTAGTTTATGAGTAGGCTTAAGCCATAGGTAACCTCAGATGATGTGCGTCTCGTTGCCAGAGCAACTGCATATGGGTAGAGTGGAAAGAGTTCTGCACTTTCACCTGAATTTGGTTGTCTTGGAAACCAGACCCAGGAAGCCTAAGGCTCAAGACCTAAACACCTCCCTGTGTCATGCTGCCTAGAAGCAATACATGGGTTTGTACAAGCTTCCCTCCACCCTTCCCCCGTCGATGCTTTCCAAGGCATCATGGTAGTTATGAGATGGAGCATGGACATTCAATTCTTTCTTTTTTTCAGGAGCCAGGAGTAATTACATTTATTCATCCTTTTTTTCATGCAACAAGTATCTATTAATTACCTGTGATGTGCAGCGATAAATAAGACATTATTTCTACCTTCATAGTTTATCATCTAGGAGGTCATGTTAATAATGTGTCTCCTAATGCCACTTCAGATGGCATGAATTTGACCCTATCAAAGTAAAAATCATTCTGTGATGATGTTCCTGGAGGAAGTCGTACTGCTCACTTTCACCGTTTTGAAAACAAATCCTTTTTTGGTATAGAATAATTTTGAAACTGTTTACATGCTGACATATTTAATACCTTTCCTAAGCTGTGACAGAATTGAAATCTCTACCTTTCCTCTCATTCATCTCTAGATCTTCCTGGTGCCCCATCCAATCTGGTCATTTCCAACATCAGCCCTCGCTCAGCCACTCTTCAGTTCCGGCCAGGCTATGACGGGAAGACGTCCATCTCTAGGTGGATTGTAGAGGGGCAGGTATGTATCATAAAACTGGGAGCTGGAGTTTCTGAAGAGCAGCGTTGGGACTTACTTGAGGCATCATTGAGTGAGCCTTTGCAGGAAGGTTAATCAATAGCTGGAGCAAACTTAGGCGTGGTTGAGAGGTGGTTATGTTTGGAGGAGGAGAACCAGAGACTGGAGACAACTCAGATGCTGGGGACTGGATGTGGAAAGACTTGGGAAAGATGATAGACTAGGGTCCTATTAGGTAATAGAAGAAGTGATAATAAGGGTTAAAATTCAATTTGTGGTTCAGAATAGATACCCAACATTTGATTGCATGGTTGGTTGAGTTTTTTAAGTTCTGTATCATAATTAGCTACCAAATGTACTAATAGTATTAATTGTTTGGTATAATTTATCTGTCATAGAATATGCATTCATTCAATAATATTTTTAGAGCATTTTCTATCTCCAGGTGCTATCCTAGAAATGTGGAATATAGCAGCAAACAAAAACTGATA